AGGCCGAGGACCGGCGGGAGGCGGAGGGGGCCGAGGCACCCGAGAAGCGCACGCCCTTGCTGTCCCGGCTGCGCCGCGCCAACTCGGAGGGGCAGAGCCTGCGCCAGGTGGGCGTCCCCCAGGACCAGCTGGTGGTCCAGGCCGCTGTTGCGCCCCCCTCGTCCGAGTCCCTCGGCTCCGAGGCCAGCGCCCGCTCCGACATCTCTGCTAAAGGTGAGTGCCCGCGTTGGAGCCAGATGGTCCCTGCGTCCAGGGGTCCGTAGCCCCCCAGCTGCGGCACCCCGGGTCCGCGGTGTTGCTGGGGACGGTCTGAGCCATGTGCGTGTCTGCAGCCCCCGGGCGCTCGCGCTGGGACCGCTGGGGCCTGTCGCGGCCCAAGAAGGACAAGGTGGCCTCGCAGCCCAACCTGCCGGCCAGCGTCCTGCGCGAGGACGGTGCCGCGCCGGGCCGCCCCTACCTGCCCAGCGAGTCAGGTGCATGAGGGACGGGGCAGGGCGGACGGGGGCCCTTGTCCCTGCAGCTGGATGGGAAGAGGCAAGCTGGCCCATGGGGGGGCTGGGGACCCCCACTCACCCCCTGCCCCCTGCTCCCCAGACTTCCCCCCCGTGTTTCACATCAAGCTGAAGGACCAGGTGCTGCTGGAGGGCGACCCGGTGACTCTCTGCTGCCTACCAGCCGCCAGCCCCACTCCCCGCATCATCTGGATGAAAGGTGTGGGCTGCTGGGGGGATGCTGCACCTGGGCCACAGCCCACCATGAATGGGCCACGGAGGCACTTGGGGTGCAGCTGGGGGTCCAGGGAGGGGCAGGGAGCCTGCGAGCAGCCCAAGACCAGTGCCACGAGCCCTGCCTCTCTGGCCGATCCCTCCCCACAGACAAGCGGCCGCTGGAGCCGACGGACGGGGCGACCGTGGTGTCATGCAAGGACGGGCGCCAGCTGCTGACCATCGCCAAGGCCGGCCGGCGGGATGCGGGGCTGTACGAGTGCGTCGCCGCCAACGCCCTGGGCTCTGCTGCCAGCTCCTGCACCCTGGCAGTGGCACGTAAGGGCACGGGCGGGTGTCTGGGGGCACCGAGGGTCCTGGGGGGTCTCCAGGTGTCGGAGCCGTGCTGGTGCCAGCCTGGCCCCTTCCCACCTGCCCCGTCCCTGCCCCGCAGGGCTCCCCGGGAAGCCAGGCACCCCCGAGATCCCGCAGAAGTACAAGAACACGGTGCTGGTGCTGTGGAAGCCCTCGGACAGCCAGGCCCCCTGCACCTACACGCTGGAGCGCAAGGCCAACGGTACGTGCTCCCTGCCTGCTCTGGCTCTGGCTCTGGCTCTGGCCCCGGCATGCGCGGGCATTGAGAGCTCCCCGGGATGCCACCTGCCCTGGGCCTGGGCTTGCACCTGCAGCTTTGCAGGCTCTAGGACAGGGGGCTTTGGGGGGTGCCGGGGTGGCTGCCCCCGCCCTGACTCTGCCCCTGCACCCGCCCCAGGGGAGCACGAGTGGAAGATCATCAGCTCGGGCATCGCCGACTGCTACTTCAACGTGACGGAGCTGCCGCCTGGCACCACCGTGCGCTTCCGCGTCGCCTGCATCAACAAGGCCGGGCAGGGCCCCTACAGCAGCCCCTCCGAGAAGGTCGTGGTGGAGGGCACAGGTGAGCCGGGCTCTGGGCGCGGGGATGCAGAACCAGGCGCTGGCCGGGCGCCCTGACCCTCCGCTCCCTCCCTCCCTCCAGAGCCCCCCGGTGCCAGGAAGCCGGTGGCTGCCACCCCTGAGAGAGAGGCTGCCTCCCGGTCCACCCAGACGCCTCGGGACCAGAGCGCTGGGGCTGCACCGGCTACCCCACCCCACGCGCACCAGGCGGTTGGGCCCGGCGCTGCTGAGGACGAGGCGGTGCCTGAGCCTCCCCCGGGCAGTCCCGCTCCGGCCATCACGGAGTCGGCCCCGCCGGAGCCAGCGCTGACGCCGGCCAGGACTGCACCCCCTGTTCCGGCTGCAGCCGCCCCCGATGGACCAGTCTCACCAGCGCCCACGGCTGTCCCACATGCCCGGGTCTCACCAGTGCCCACAGCTGTGCCAGCCCAGGTCTCACCAGCGCCCACGGCTGCGACAGTCCAGGTCTCACCAGCGCCTATGGCTGTCCCACATGCCCGGGTCTCACCAGTGCCCACAGCTGTGCCAGCCCAGGTCTCACCAGCGCCCACGGCTGCGACAGTCCAGGTCTCACCAGCGCCTATGGCTGTCCCACATGCCCGGGTCTCACCAGTGCCCACAGCTGTGCCAGCCCAGGTCTCACCAGCGCCCACGGCTGCGACAGTCCAGGTCTCACCAGCGCCTATGGCTGTCCCACATGCCCGGGTCTCACCAGTGCCCACAGCTGTGCCAGCCCAGGTCTCACCAGCGCCCACGGCTGCGACAGTCCAGGTCTCACCAGCGCCTATGGCTGTCCCACATGCCCGGGGCTCACCAGTGCCCACAGCTGTGCCAGCCCAGGTCTCACCAGCGCCTATGGCTGTCCCACATGCCCGGGGCTCACCAGTGCCCACAGCTGTCCCAGATGCCCGGGTCTTGCCGGCACATGCGGCCACACCAGCCCGGGTCTCGCCTGCCCCTGCAGCCACCCCAGATGCCGGGGTCTCCCCAGCCCCCGCAACTGCCCTAGGGGCCAGGGTCTCGCCCCCCCCACCGGCCCAGCCAGCCTCCAAGTTCTCCCCCATTGCGCCGGCGGCCCCCTCTGCCAACGCGGCACCAGTGCGGAAGGTGGCCCCGTCAGCGGCCCCCAAGTTCATGGTCACCTCCTTCGTCTCCCTGCCGCCCGCACCGCCGCCCACCGAGGACGTGCCCGCGGCCCCTGCGCCCAGCCGCATCAGCCCTGTGGGGCGAGAGGCCCCCGCGGCCAAGGACAGCTCGGGGCTGCACCAGGGGGTGCCGCAGAAGCCCTACACCTTCCTGGATGAGAAGGCCAGGTGAGGAGGCCGCGGGAGCGGGTCCGGCCCCAGCCCTGGGCACGCCATGTTGGTTGCCAGCAGCCCAGTGCCAGAGCCGAAGCCTGGTCTTGTCCTGTCCCCTCTGCCCTGTCCCGGCGATCTGGGAGCGGGGTTGGGCCGTGGCTGGAAACGTCCCATCCTGTGGGGCCCCGATCCTGGGGCTCTGCCCACAGCCATGCCGAGACCACAGGAGCGGGCCCCCAAAGCAGGAGGAAGGGGCAGGGAAGGGGGTGATGCGGGTGCCGGGCAGCGGTGCTGAGCGGTGCCATGGCCGGCAGGGGCCGGTTCGGGGTGATCCGGGAGTGCAAGGAGAACGCGACGGGGAAGCGGTTTGTGGCCAAGATCGTGCCGTACGAGGCGGAGCGGAAGCAGAGCGTGCTGCAGGAGTACGAGGTGCTCAAGGCGCTGCGACACCAGCGCATCATGGCCCTGCACGAGGCCTACATCACGCCCCGCTACCTCGTGCTCATCTGCGAGAGCTGTGCCGGCAAGGAGCTGCTCTACAGCCTCGTCGACAGGTGGGGCAGGGGGCTGGGGGCTGGGCCCGGGGGAGACTCCTCTCTATGGACGGAGGGGCTGTGAACATTGCATGGGGAAGGGCCCCAGCGCCTGCACCATGGACCCGCGGGGCTCCCAGAGGGAGGAGCCGAGTGGTCCCTACCTGCCCCAGCCGTGCAGCGCGGCCTGGCGCTGGGATGCTCCATAGCCCGGAAATGGGGGAGAGCTGGAGCGGGCGTTTCCCAAGGGGAGTGGCTGTCTAATGAGAGGCCTGGTTTAATGAGGGGCCCTGGGTCTAATGAGGCAGAGGCCGACCTGCTGACACTCGGCCCGCGGCAGGTTCCGATACTCGGAGG